CACATTTGCCCGGGACCCACTTCCTGGTGTCTGTGCTGCTCTGGTGATGTGTGTTACAGGGAGGAGCTGGGTGTGGATTGAATCTGTTCTATTTAGTTGAGTGGACTCTGCCATTACAAAGCTGATTCAAAGCCCTGGGAAACCATAGCACAGACGAGAATGCAACAATATTCAGCTCTTATTGAAGAAGCAGGTAATAGAGATGCAGAGGATTTCTTGCAACTAGTGTAAAATATACTTAACAATATATATTTTTATGTACTGTTTCTGGGGGCAGTACTTTGATTAGAAAATATTGCCTCTTGGACTTTCACTCCCCTCGATGATATTCCTCACAGCCAAGAACTGTTCTTTGGTAGGTCGACCTGTGTTTTTAAGATCAGATATTTTGACTTTTTCCAGCTCACTATTTCCCGTCCGCTTCTTCCTAACGTGCAAACTGGTGCTGAGTGCAGTTTCGCAGAGACCCAGCCCAATTTGCCTCCTTTCATGTACGAACGTAGTCAGTGAGTGTCAGCTGAGACCATCACAGCTGAGCCCAGGCCTGTCCACTGACCACACAACAACAAGATTTCATTTATAGAGCGCCTTTCACGTTGGGAGGACGTCCCAACACACCCGTACATTCCAGCAGAAGCTTCTGTTTAACAATCAGTAAACTCCCGAAATAGGTGCATTTTCCCCCTGCCTAACTCAGGTTTTCTGAGGCCAATACTAACTGCTCAACTAACTCAATAGACAATAGGGGTGGAGGGTAATAACCCCTAAAAATAAGTCACTCCATCCACGACTGTTTGTGGGGACACTGTTGTGCGCAATTGACTGTTGCGTTTTGCCCATAACATACAGTCAATCCAATTTATAATATATTCTGTGAAGCTCTTTGAGACTTCTCAACAATGTGATAAGGTGCTATATCAAATGTAATGATTATTATTATAAAAGCTGTGACCTTTCTCAGCTTGTAGTTTAGTTCCACAGTGGGTTAAGATCAATTTTACAAATATAGTACATGAGAGTTTCAATGGAGGACTAATGATAATAATGCAAAAAAGCAACTTAAAAACAAATTAACCTTAACCTTGCATTTCTAATTTTTCATACTTTCTTAACTTTTATGACAATACTGCCAGTAAAAGGTTTTTCCCAAAGACTTGCAGTTCAAAATAGCTCTTACGCAGTTAAGTTTGAGAAGTCAATTTAAAGATATGATTAATCCTGGTATGTGCAATCTTTAGACAGTGCAAGAAAGCTGCCAGGAGACAAATAATTATTTATTGTGTCATTGACATGATGTTTCTGACATAGTTTCATTTACAATAAAAGGAAGGGGAGCGGGGCTTATATGAACATTGTTGTTGCTTTCTTCCAATCTCCTCAGCCTTGCATAGTTGGATCATAAATTCACTAAAAGGAATCTCAAGCTCATTCTATCCAGCTCTCCCCCCCCCCCGCCCACCAGTCCATTGTTTTTATTCAGATTGCACACTCCTAACTTTTGGAACTCCGCCCTCTCTACTCTCCTTGCACCCCTTCTGTCTACAAGTCCAGTCTTAAAAGCTACCTCTACACCGCGCCTATGTTCACGTCCCCCTTCTACCTTTGTGCTCGATTGATACGATTCAATAAACAGAAAGGAAATGTTGGTGAAATAAACATATTCGACAATGACTTTCTTTGGGCTGTTTTAACAGCTTTTGCTTCTTTCGCTAGGGATGCAGCCATATTACCATACGGTGATTTTAACTACCATCTGTGTAAACACATGAAAAGCACACCATCTGAATCTGTCAGCACAATGCTACAGTTGTAGCATAGTAATAGTACTGTTACTATTTATGGGAAATCTTACCCTCCTGAGATGTGTCTAATGTTTGTTGCAATTAGACTTGCAGATATAACAATTTAACGGATTAATAGGCACACCCCTGAGCAATGCACACATTTACTAGCCTTTAAAACTTTCCAGATTCCCATTACACGAAGTTACAAAAGTTTTCAATTTACAATTTTGGAAAAAAAAACCTTGACTTTGAATAAAAAAAACGTTTATCTCTGTTAAAGAAAACTATGTAGACAGACTCTTTACATTAATAAATGTTCTTAAAAAGAGATCATTGCTGCTTTGGTGACATTGTGAAGGCAACAAGCGTGGTAAATAGAAACCACAGTGGAATCATGCGAGAAATTATGCAATTTTCACAGTGCTTTCTTGAAACGCAATTGGTAGTGTTCCATTTCATGTAAGTTTTATTCACTTCTTTAACTGACTGCAGTGAAGGATATACTAAAATACTGTTCCCCTTGGATTTTACAACAACAACTTGCATTCCTATAGTGCCCTTCAGGTATGATAGCATCTCGGAATGTGTTTACACGAAGAATACTTCCTCTATGATGGTGGTAACCCCAATTCCCTGATCTTTCCCCAGACTCTGTTGTATTTTTCCTCTTCAAATTTTATCCAATTTGCTTTCAAAATTTTTTTGGCTTAGCTTCAGTAGCCACTTGTGGCAAAGCATTCTGATAATCCTCAGTGTGAAAAGTTGCTCTTCCTGAAGTCTTCATCTTTGCCCTGTCACTTTCTTATGTGACATTTGAGAACCATGAGCGCAAAAACAACTCAGACTACACAAAACGACCAATACTTAAATTCCATTCACATAATAATAATCCTTACATTTGATATAGGGCTTTCACGTTCAGGGAGACATCGCAAAGCACTTCACAGGATTTACTTTAAAATGTAATGACAATGTATGACGTGCAGCCAATTAGCACACAGCATTGCTATATTTGATATATATTTCATAACTTGATTCTTCATTGAACACAGCTCTTAAACCTCGCACCATCACCACTTAAAATCTATGCAGCAATGTATCTAACAACAACAACAAGATTACATTTGTACAGCCCCTTTCACGTCGGGAAGACGTCCCAAGGCGCTGGACAGTGTACAGCATTTCAACAACAAACGATTCTTAGGATAATCAAGCATTTCTTCAGTTACAACATAGCTAACCAATAATTAACGGAAAATATTTGCATAAAAATGTTTCATTGTTCCCTACTTTAAGAATAAGACATTCAAAATAAAGCTACTCCTTGTGTGTCTCCCTCCAGTAGCTATACAGTAGTTTTATTAATATGTAGTTTAGAATGTATCCATGGTAGACACAATAAACAGCATTTTCTGCATTGTACAATATAAATGGTGATACTTGATATTATTATTGGACAGAAGACATGGTTGATGTTACATGTTAGATTGCCATGACATCCATCTACTTTACCTGGTTTAAAAAAAAAACAGATTTAATTTGATATATAAACTTTGTTATTTCTTGAGCAACCTGTGCAGAATGTTTATTGCATTTATCACATGACTTACAAAAATGTTACTACTCAACAAAATTAGAGTTCTAAAAGACTCAGACCTCTAAAGTGAGTGTTATTATGAGATAAGTACAACATTTAAAAATGTAATCCATAATCCTGAGAAAGGATCATTTTAATTCTAAAATGATTCATTCTTGTATTTGTTAAGAGCTTAGCAATATTTCTGGTAATTTCCCTAAAAGGTGACTGACTATCTTGATTGTGTCATGCAGTATGTTATTGTACAGAGAAGCTGAAATTCAGAATTTCTACTTTTCTGTGTAAACATTATCTCACATTTGAGGTAAGGACCAATATAAATCCCTTTATCACAACTGACTTAAATTGCCCTTCAATACCCAATAATGCAGGTCTGTTTAAACTGATACAACAGCCAAAAAGAAAATATGTGTGAAATTTAGTGGCAGTAACTTCTATTCAAAATGAAATCGCAAACATTTTAATGGATTTTATTCAGAACCAGCAGGAATATGCTCCAATCATTCTTGTCTATAGACTCATTGTGAGCTTGGGTTGGCCATTACTGTACATGTTGAAAGATAACACAAGGGCCTCAAGACAAGCTCTGTAAGTCTACTGAGGAGAAATTCCCTCTGTTTCCAGACTTGCCCTTTTTTCTTAGTATTTTAGAGCTTACAAATTCTGGATAATTCTTACATTAATTTTAAATTTGAAGCCATGTTTTTTGTAGGTATTTTTTAAAAAGGCTTTAAAATTAAAACTGGATTGAAGCATTGTCTAAAATATGCATGCTTTGAAATGCTGCCCAAACAAAGTACGAGTGAGAAACAGAGTGGAGTTTTTTTCCCCAGCGAGTGCAAAATAAAATCTATTTGTGAAGAAGACGACAGATTGAAGCTGTTCCTCAACAAATTGTAATCGAGCCGCATTTATTAAACCCAGAACAAGTTTGGTTAATGGAATATTAAGAGATTTTTGGAAAACTTTTTCATCTGATGCATCCAGGCACTTTAGAATAATTTTTTCAAAAAAATGAACAAATATTATTTTTCATCTATTTTACTTTTTTCAAAAAAAACTGGATTGATCTTCTGTTTCTTTTGCAGCTACATTTGAAAAGATATTTGGTGTCCTTAGATAGCACGACTAATGTACATTTAAGATGCAGGACTGGTTGAAATCTCAGTGTTTCCTTTATACAGCGGAGTGCTTGTTTAACAGACAGCCTAGGCCACAGTCATGGAACTCCTAAAGGATGGCTGCTGGCTTCCTGTGGCAGAATTAGTCCTTTTCCCTTCCTTTCTGCTATAACCATTTTGTCTATCCGAAACTCTTCAAATCACAAATTTGTGTCATTTAAGGGTTTTCTTTTCATTTTCCTTTTTTGTTTCATAAGCAATTATTGCATCTTCCTTTCATTTCTAAGTTGCCTTTATTTTGAATAACTTTGTTTGCATGGTGATGTATTTTGCTCTTGGCATTATTTACTCTTTCTCTTTCAGATCACTTTTTTAAAAAATATAAGTAGAGAGCTTTAGTGCAAAGTATACGGAGTGATAATAGAAGCCATCTTTTCTTTGCATCATTGAATTGTGAAAGTAAACGGTAATTTCTGATTTATTGCCTGCTGTTGGTAGGGCTGCAAAGGAGATCCGCAATGGAGAGAAGTTGGAGTTGACAATGTCAAACATAAATGCAGATGTACTGGAAATGCTGCTGGAGTTTATTTATACTGGCTCGCTCATCATCAGTTCTGGAAATGCAAAAACGCTACTGGAGGCTGCCAGTAAATTCCAGTTCCGAACCTTCTGCAAAGTTTGTGTCTCTTTCCTAGGTAGGTGAATCGAATCAGTAAATACATGCGTTAGCAATTTCACATGTTAACACGTTGAACAAGATTAAAAATGTTCTTGATGGTGTTCGTTCGGATCAACTCATGTTAGGCACAATCCGTCCTTTGTAGGACTTGCAGATACAAACCTAAATCTAAGTAACAAAACCTATTGACACTATATTTTTTGTGGTGCTCACCATATGTCGCATCCACTGCGAGCGCAGTCCAAAAGCTGTGACTCAGAGAGTGGACTATTGGGTTGTGGAAAAGGTGCCACATATCCATATCAATCTTCTGGATTCTACTCAATTGATATTAAACAGCAATCCAAAGTATGCCTGCAGGGGAAGGGGAGATATCTGAAATGAATTGGCTTTGCTGCGCAGTGTCAGTAGCTCAGTTCACACCCCTGAGGGCTGAACAGACAGATTAGAAAAATTGTGTGTTTGCCTCTGTATCAATCAAGTTGTGTGTTGAAATGTAATCTTTTTATAATGTATAACGATTAATGTTTATACTATATGCTGTCGTGCAGGTCTAGGAGCATGTAGGATCTTGCCTGGCTGCTGGGAATATTGATCTATATTAATAACTACATCTGCTCCAGCAACACATTTCTCACTATTAATTATAACTGTTTGAAAGTTGACTTCACTATAACCAGTAAACTTCACTGTACAGTAAGTCTGTTGAACAGCAAAGTGTACAATGAATCAAGGTGCCCTTTGATCCACATACTCGGTATAAATCACTTTATCACAACTGACTGCAATTGCTCTTCAATATCCAATAATACCTGCACTTACCTTAACATGACTGATCATTTCTTAATTTCCAAATTAAATAGAAAACTATTCCCTCTTCATAATAGTAGCTGCACCCACTTTAATGTGACCAACAAGCAGGACTGGGAAAAGTTCTACAGTTATAGTGACTAAGGAACAGATGGAAGCTGACAAAGAGCTGGACACTTCACTGTTGTTGAGCTGCAGACAGGAAGATGGTGGCAATTCTCTCACTCATTTCATACCGAGCTGTGTTGCCCATCATCAGTAAGCTCACAGGGTGTGCCTGGTACCTGCTATCTACCTACTAAAGGTTCAAACCCAGGCTTGTAGTGAAATGAACAATTAGTGTCTATCCCCCTGGGTGGGTGGGGGTCTCCTTGGGGCAGAATGGGCTGTGAAGTGATATGATTGGCAACGAACTGTCAGAACTGATCCCCAAGTAAGCTATGCGGTTTTAGCTGGTTAGACTCCAGCAGTACTCTGTGGTTCCCAAGCCTTGGTTTGCTCTACCCTACCTTTGCGACTTCCTAACCCACTACCAACCTGCCCACTCCCTCCGCTCAGCGGGCTCCAGCCTGCTTCACAGCACCCACAACACCCACCCCACCATTTGCAGGTGGGCCTTCAGCCACTTTGCCCCCACTCACTGGAACTCCATCCCGCAGTCCCTCTGCCTCACCCCCTCCCTTGCCTCCTTCAAAACCCATCTCAAGACCTTCCTATTCAACCATGCCTTCAGTCATCATCCTCCGCCCCCCCTGCCCTCCACCCTCCCCAATCCGGCCTCAGCTTGGATCAGAAAAACTGATTGTCCTGCACCTTGGGACGTCCTCCCAACGTGAAAGGCGCTATACAAATGTAATTTTGTTGTTATTGTTCTTGCCAAACGGTGCCTAAAACTCTGGAATTAGGAAAACATTTCTGGAATTTCCATGTGCAGGTGGGAGGCATGAAACTCTCAGTTTGGTTTGGATACGCTTAAGCATGGTGATGGGTTTCCTCATGTGTTAGACACCCGGCTGACTAAAAAAAATTGTTCTTGAAAATAGCAGATATTTATTATTCCCCTCTTTTATTATCTCCTTCCATCGATCTTATCCCTGTAATGTAGCTTTTTAATCTGAATTCAATCATTAGTTATTAATATGTCCATATATTTTTCCCTTGAACGTACTTTACTCTCTGAGCAATTCTCCTTTCCCTTAGTCTTACTTTTGACTTCGCCAGGATTGATATTCTGTTTTTTTCATATTTACACAATAGTTTGCTGTGTTATAGACACAGCCAAAACCACCTGACCTTCTGCAAGTGTACACTGCTTATTCTATATAAATCAAGAGTTATCCTCTGTCTTATGTTAAACATTGGCAGCATACCATAAAATAGGGATAAAACTCAATCCAGGCAAATACAACCGTGGCAGATTCAGTACCAGCAGAGTTTAATGCTCGCATACAGGGCACGACAAATCTACCAAGTGAAAAATAATTCCCTGCATAGCACTTCTTCTTGAGTCAGGTCATAGCCGGTTTTCGAATTAAACTGTTCTTTCCCGTGGGGCATGACATCAATCTCAAGTGATTAATGATCTTCTTCATGCTTCACATGACATTCTCACTCGCCCCAGTAATCAAGCTATTCCTCAGGTGCACGTCGTGACAGCATCCAACAGTTTCCATGTCAGGGTTCAAACTCCCCTCCTTCTCCTTGACAGTCTGGGAAAACCCTTTCATTATAGCAAGGTGCCATTTCCATTTCTCAGACTGTCTGTTGTTGTCACCTTTTTGTGAATGGTTTTAAGACCTGTGCTTAATCTTTCGCAATTTTCTTTCCCTCTGGAAGTTTAACTTCGATCGCCCAAACTTATTTAACTTACAACTATAACTCATCCCATCAACTTTGGTTAGATTCCAACCAGGTTACAGAGCTCCCCCAATGGCATGGTGGGTAACGGTGCTGCTTATTGCAACGTTCAATCACATGGATTACAAGATCACAATATTGATTTGGATGAGGAAGGCATTTTGATCTCATCCCTCCAGAACACTTATCCCACCATTCCCCCCAATTACAGCATGAAGTTGATTTTTATGTCTAGCGTCCTGGCCTCTACCACCCTTCCTGGTAATTTGTTCCAGTCGATGATTACCCTCTGAGTAAAGAAAAACTTCCTAGTATCTGTCCTGATATTGCTCTTTACAATGCTAAATCTATGTCCTCTTGTCCTAATGTCTTGATGCACCCTAATAAATTGATGTGGCTTTCCTTTTTTAATCCCATTTAAAATTGTAAAACACCTTTATACTGATTTAAGACCATTTCACAAAATTGCGCACAGTGCAAAAAATGTTAATAAGACAATGGTCTTAAGCCAAAGGACATAATTTTTTGCCCCAACATGAGGATAGGACTGTTTATATCGTGCCTAGCCTATGATCACTGACTGCTATATCTATAATATGATTTACATTTGTATAGCGCCTTTCACGTCAGGAGTATGTCTTAAGGTTAAGCACCTGAGCTGGGTAGAGGAGGGCGAAACGGATGACTGAAAGCATGATCAAAGCCAAGTCTTAAGGCAGGATTTAAAAGCAGGGAAGGAGGGGGTGAAGTTGGAGAATTCATGGATGGAGTTCCAATTATCTAAGCTTTCATGTGAAAAATTATCCATTTGAGAGAATGAGAGAGACATACACATAGACAGCATACCAGAGAAGGGAAGAAAATTGAAGAAACTGCAGAGCTGAAAGGATGGTTTTCTGAACCACTGTATGTCATTTAATTTCACACAGTATTATAGATCCTTCTCCATGCAAACTATGATTACACCATTTGTATAACGTATGAATTCAACAACATTTCCTTCACCATCATAAGTACAACGAGTTCTCACTTGATTTGGGTAATGTTCTTCCCATCTCCACCCATTGTAATCATATACCTTCCCATTATGGTTGGATAATTCTCCACCTATGGTGAAGCTATATGCCAAATTTAGTGAATAAAACCTACTTTACTCGGCACTTCTCTGACCTTTCTCATTTGACCTGTACGTACACTTGCTCTTCTGGTATCAATGTATGTCTGACATCAGGTTCCTCTCCCTTGCTTGGTGCAGGGCACTACATAAGAACACGGTGCTGTTGTTGTTCCTATCTAGATAATGGCCTATATTTTAAATCCATTACAACTGCTTTATCATAAGATCACAAGAAGGCCCTTTGTCCCATCCAATTTCATCCCTCCAGAACACCCACTCCGCTCCCCCCATCATTGCACCAAGCTGCTTTTTCAATGAGTCTTGTGTCCTTGCCTTTTCTGTCAACTTATTCCAGTCATTGATTACCCTACGCATACAGAAAAATTATCTGTCCTGAAATTGGCTAAACAACTGTAAACTCTACAACTCTTGTTCTGCTGTCCTGATACATTGTAAAGTATTGATCTGAGTTCACTTTTAAATGATATCTTTAAATCTTGATATCTTGATATCCCTTGATGCCCATAAATTTTGGTTCCACATACATGTCTTCTGGATTGCAGCTTTCATACTGCTGGTTAACAGGAGAAGTGGCAGCTTTGCTCACTGAACACATTCAATAGTTACGGTATTTCTACGTTTAGACCACATAGTTCAATTCTGAAAGATAAAGTTAGCAAATTGTTTGTCAGTATAAATAATGGTTCATAAGAGTCTTAGGTAGGAATAAAGAATCATAGTAAAACATGATAGGGCACTCTCTATAATATATGCCTATAATAAATCAAATGGAACCCACTCGGATGATAAGGAAAAAGACTGAAGGCACTGATACCAATCTTGCAAAGCAGATGTGTTTCAAAAACATTGTCCTTTTGATATTACCATTAGTTGTGTGAATATTTTTTGGTCAGGCGGTTGTCTGATACAGAAGGAAATCCATTACCATGCTTAAGAATATCTACGCCGTCTGAGAGTTCCATGTATATGCACCTACACATGGACATTTCCCTGTGTCTGGAATGACATGCGCACTCTCTCCCTGAAGGAAGACACTCTGCTTACCTAATTCCGGAGACCGTCAGGTGCAGATTGGCAAGAACCAAGGTTTGGGGACAGCAGAGTGTGCATTGGGGTACTGCTGGAATTTTAAACAGCTGAAACTGCATCACTTGCTTTTGCGAGCACTGTCTAGCAAGCCTCCCGCTGCTTGTCCAGCAAGGACCATCTTACCCGTTAGCTATCAGGAGATGAGTGGGAAGAATCGATGTCCATGTACTCCCAAGTCCTGCCGATGAGCCAGGCTGACTGGGCTGTCATTATCAGTGTCCTGGAGTCCTGCAGACCCACCTAGCTCAGGATCCAGACTACCGAGACTGTCACAGAGGGTTGATTCGATTCTGACATTACGTGGTAAAGCACATAACTTTACTGCCACCTCAGTTCCCAGAAGACCGCACTTACCTCCCCCCAGTAGGATAGGTATGTGACGAGATCCAGGAGCTTTCGAACTATTGAGAGAATCTTATAGTAAATTAACCGTGTAAAGTCCATTGATAAAAAGTCAAAAACAGATGAAAGTTTCTAAATAACGGCTGGATTTGTGTTTGCATTTGTTCCTTCACTGTCTCACTAACTGATCTTATATTCCTAAAGGGAACCTTTATTCCCTTTTGTAAAAAAAAGATTGGGGAAAAAATTATACAAGCAACTGATCTTGTATTAAGTACAGTGCTATTATACCAAGCTTTTCTCTCTTAGAACAAAATTCATTAATGTTGTTTGTTCTTGAATCATTTTGACATTTTTATTGATACACAATCTACTTTGGTCCATCTTTATCATAAGACAATCATTTGGAAATGAAGCGGAAGATAATACTGAAACACATAGGTAGCAGCAACAACAACTTGCATTTATATAGCAGCCCTCACACAGGGTAACATCTCACAGTGCTTGAGAGCAAATTACAACGCACATAATGCAATACCAAATGTGTGCCAGAGTCAACTGGTCTTATTTTGAAAATGAGGTTTTGTGCAATAGAAGGTAATACAGAACCAGCGAAACATCTTTAAATAATTTTGATGTCTATGATATGAGTTTTGATGGGTCTTTTTCAGAGAAACAGTTAACTGCCATTAACTGTTTAGGAATCCTAGCAATGGCAGAAGCTATGCATTGTAATGAACTACACAACATGGCAAAAGCGTATGCCCTGCAAAACTTCCCAGAAGTAGCATCACAGCTAGAGATTCTGAACGTCTCGAAGGATGATCTTGTTGCCTATCTCTCCAATGACAGCCTGAACACAAAGGCTGAGGAGCTGGTGTACGAGGCTGTAATTAAGTGGACCAAGAAAAATCCAGAAAAGAGAACGCAGGTACATTTCTCACACTTATTGATCAGGTTACATTTCTCTGGCTTATGGAAACATTTACTTTCAAGTCCACAGGTCATGCAGGATTGCACATTAGTGGTGATCAAATGTGATTGCTGCTTCACTCCGTTTCCAATTGAAACTGGGGAAAAAAGTCAGCAAACAAATAGGTTACTTTAATAATATGTTCTTTTCCACGACCCCCAACTGTTCCCCCAATTTTTCCCTTCATTAGTTCTTCCTGGGCTCCACAGTTTTTGTATTTCAAGTTGGGTAGGTGGTTGTCCTACTCCCATGTCAGTCCTAATGCTACAGTTCAATCAATGGTGGATGCAAGAAATTTGCTTTTGCTAAAGACTGCCCATCTGCTAACTCTACATTTTATTCCACATCTAACCTGAACCCTAATCTGAGACCTAAATAGTCTTAGCTTTAAGTTCACTGCCTTACGTTTTAAGACCACGCAGAATGCTTTAAATACTTAATTTGAAAGAAGGCTTTCCAAAAGAACTTCCTGATGGGATGTTAATCCGAGATCCCATCTGCCTGTTTAGGTGAATGTTAAGACCGCATGGCCCTGTTTGAAAAGAGAAGCGAGTTCTCTAGGAGCTCAGGATGGAAGATCCAGCCAGCATTCTGCAATGTGGTGAATTTGTACTCCCATATGTGGTCCTATTCCATTCTTATATTTTTAAACTGGCTTCAAATCAAGCGATATAAATCTGCACGGAAACTTACATAAGTTATCGCTCGTGCTGCTATGCTTCATTTTCATTTAGTGAGTTTTGTATTCATTGGGGTAGAGGATATCAGTGCTCGGAAATACACTTTTTTCCAGTTTTGTCATCCAGTATCAGCATCAAGTATTCATAGGTCAAGTGTATCACAGCCAACCATAGAACAAAGCTCCTTTCATTCTGCCTCAACAATGTGCCATCACCTCAACCTCAATAGAACCCTTTTTAAAGCTCCAGTGTGAATCTTTCCACTTCTTGCACTGCCTGTCTTTAGACATTTCTGTATGAAATTGCCACTTTTATGCAAATTAGTGTCAGCTGTGTAGTGCGGGATGACACCTATAATGAGCTGGATTAAGACTGTTCAAACTTACATCACATACGATGCCGACAGCCCATAGTGAGGAGAAGCTTTCATTCCTAGCAACACCATTGAATAGGAAATGCTCTTTTGCACATCATTAACTCCATCTGTACCTTCCATGTCCTGCGGTCCATGATGTTTGGGAATATCTTTGCTGATACACCCATATATAATGGACCATAGGGCATGGAAGGTACAGGCGGAGGCTTGAAACCCATATAGTCTAACATGACACTCCATTTGCAGTGCTGGCGATAGGGGTGCGGGTTTCAGATGAGACTTTAAGCCAACATCTCATTTGCCTATTAAGGTGAACGTTAAAGATTCCATGAAACTATTTGAAAAGAGAAGGGATTAACTCCAGGACTACTGGCCAACAATCCCCTCAAAGTAGAATTGGTTGTTCACTTCATGGCTAGTTGTGGGACATTGCTCTGTGCAACTTGGCTACCATGTTTGTCCACAGTAACTACACTTTACATTACATCCTGTGAAGCTTATTGAGGCATCCACCTCATGTGAAAGACTCTACCAAATGCAAGGATCATAATTATTTATTATTCTCTTTGAGTGAACTCTTCAGTGCTCATTTATTGAACTGAACATAACCCATCAAGCAACAGTGAAACTGTGCATCAAAAATGTATGACTTGAGTTAACATAAACACAAGGTAAAACAAAGTTCACAATCTTATTAAAAATTTACAACGGATTGTACACCATGCGTATTCCAAGCATTATTTTTAGGTCTTAAAGATAAGAATATTAATAAGAATCCTTGCATTTCATGTCATGCCTTATCATGACATCAAAACTTCCAAAAGGACTTCACAGGATTTACTGTCAAGTATGGAGACTATATTTGTATTAACCTTGACACCACTCAACTCCAAAGCTCAATCAGGGTTTTCAATTAGTCTCTGAACCTTGTATTGAGATTCAAACAACCTTGGACAGCTGGTGGCTTGTTACTCAAGAGAATGGTGTATCTGTGGAAGGGATTACCTAAGGAGATGGTGTAGGCAAATGGTAGCAGTAAATTTAAAAGGGAATTAGACTGCTGTTAGCTAAGTTAATCGGTTGGGGAGAATGAGAGATTTGTAAAGGGTGACAAATGTGACATATCCATAATTATTGCTAGTCACATCAAATGTCATAATCTAAGATGACGTTCCAATGCTATTTATAGGACATTGCAATTTGCCTGCAAGTCATTGTACTTTACTGTAAATTCTGTTAAGCGCTTTGAGATGTTCTTCCATGTGAAAGGCACCATGTTAAGTGCAAGGATTATTATTATTATAGTTTGGACCGGTGATCCTGCTGGCTCTCTCTGCTCAGCAGCTCCAGCCTGCTTCACGTCCCCCACCTCGCTCGCCCCACTATTGGCAGGCGGGCCATCTACCACTCTGCACCCAGCTTCTGGAACTCCATCCCAAAGTCCCTCCGCCTCGCCCCCTCCCTTGCCTCTTTCAAGACCCATCTCAAGACCTTCCCCTTCGACTGTGCTTTCAATCACCGTGTTTCCCCCCCCCCACCCTACATCCTCCCCAATCGCAAACCCCAGCTCGGGTCCGAAACTCTTGACTATCCAGTGCCTTGGAACATCCTCCTGACGTGAAAGGCGCTATACAAATGTAATTTTGTTATTGTTGTTGTGATAATTATGACCTGGTTGGACAATCTGTTCCTGGCAATGTCCCAGCTGATAACTAGGGATGAGTGAACATCGACAAACTAAACGTTTAATCCCACGATTGCACAAAGCTGCTTAGCAGCAGTTAAGATGGGCCACAGTGCTTTTCAACCTGTGCCCTAGGGATCCCACCATTTCAATGCTGGTTCACAGAATGCCAGCTTAATTTAACTACAGTAGGCTATGTACTCCCAGGTTTCTCTAGGTACAATTTCACAATTCTCCCAGTTGGTGATATTATGAACTTAACTCTCTGGTGTATCACAAGTACCATGCGTGAACTCCATGGGGTCACCAGGCTACCCAGAAGCAGCTTGATTGTTACTATAATCGGGTGGTTAATGGGCAGTAGCATCTAGGCTCTAAACAGAGAAAATAATTTCTAATTACTGTAGTTCAATGAAATGTAATTTTAATGAACTAAGTGATGTGCTTGAGGTACCCACTAATCATAGAATTATACAGCACAGAAGGAGGCCATTCGACCCATCGTGTCTGTGCCGGATCTTTGAAAAGAGTTATCCAATTCAATCCCACTCCCCCGCTCGCTCCCCATAGTCCTGCAAACATTTCCTCCCCACTTGGAGTGATGTATGCACTCCAGTTATATTTCAGCAATGTTCTTAGTTAAAGCTAAATTATTTAATATTAATCTTTTTGGGAAATGAATCTAAACTGAAATTTGACCCAGACTCGCATCTAATCCTCAGAACTCAGAATAATGATCAAATTATATCATAGATTGCCATTTGCACCTCACTTGAAGCACCACAACAGTAACAAAGCTATCCCAACTGAACTCTTCTTTTTATTGAGAAAATGCAGTGCCTGACTTGCTACTCTACAAACAACTTATGCAAAGTAACAATCTTCAGTCACTGCCACATACATGAAGGTGCTCAAGACTCTGTGATTTTTAATAATTATAATCCCTGCATCTGCCTTTCACATCAGGAGGATGTTTCAAACGCTTTACAGGATATAGATATACTGTAAAGTGGAGTGACTGTGTTAACATCGCCGGCAGGGCGAAATCTTGGGTAAGTTTCCTTACTCCACACGCCTAATAATAATCCCTCCAAAAACAAAACAATAATAAATTGGTCATTTTCAATCCACGACTGTTTGTGGGACATTGCTGTGCGCAATTGGCTGCCACGTTTCACCCACAAATATACAGTCAATTCACTTTACAGTCTATTCTGTGAAGCGCTTTGAGATGTCGAGAAGACGTGAAAAGCGCTATATCAAATGCAAGGTTATTATAACATCTTCAATAAACTGAGTCTGGAGATAAATTTGTTAGTAGCAAAATGGCATCCCACTGCTCAATGCAATAGAGACAACATTTTATTGAAATAAACTGCACCACTGTTGAGTGAAAATGGACACTTCCAAAAGTATGGGCACCTAAATGTCCATTGTGCTGGAGCACAATGCCTGCCATCTGTGCAATATTTCTTATGTTGTTCAGTGATCGAAGTACATTTAGATGGCATTGAAAAGCTATACAAAATGTATCTTTTGTAAACGCTTTGTTCGTGTACTGAACACTTTGTGATTCATCAGCAGTTGAATTCATTCAGTGATACTCTGACATTGATAATTGCACTGTTAACACAAAGGTTAATGGACTAGGTTGACATCAAATAATGGTTTAAAATAATTGCAGCAAAATTACCCAACTCACATACTCTTCAAACAGGTTTGCAAGTGATAATAGCCCAGAATCTCAGCCGCTTCACCCATTTTGTTTCGTTTAATTTTGAAACTGTTTTTTTATCGTTCTTAAAACAAAACTACAGAAAGACAGATTGAAAAATAAGACTTAAATAGTTTAAAAATTGCAGGTTCTGAAATACTAAGAAAATAATCTGAAGCTGGAGCCTGAGCAGCAGTTCTATCTCAGAACGGTAGAATTTTTTTTCTCAATTTAATACTCCTTTCCAGATTTCTCACAATCTTATATATTAAGACAATATACAGTAGTCTTAAATCTAAGAACAAAAGAAACGTCAGGCTTCAGATTTCCCAAGTGTAGACAGAAATGATTTCCACCATTACAGCTCCAGCTATAATATTTACTGACATACAACTTCTGTCAATTTTATACATGCTTTTTAGATTCACGTTTGTGGCTGAATACCATTCTATGATAGTACAGAGATATTTCAGAAGAAAGACAGTGACACAACTGAGTGCCTGTGGCTGCGCTTGGTTCTATAGTATGAATTAGTCTAGACAAATAGACTGATTCATTTTGTCAGTCATGTAATGAGGTGCGACACTCATACGCTCTCGGTGTGAACACGTACTTCATCATTTACATTGATCCACTTGATTAGGACATTTAGGTCGCCCATAAAAATATCACTCCACGAGGTTGGCATTTTGGCTCGACCACATCTTCACCGTTCACAGGTCTCCTAAGCGTTCAGCTCTTCTACGGTTTCAGATCTGAGGGCCCGTTGCTTTTTCTCTTTAAGAAATTCTATCCTGATGGCATGCAGTGCTCTATTCTCAGGACTTGCCAGAGCTGCTAGCTGTGGTTCGCTTGCCCTTTATCCACCCAAGTTACCTGTTAAACGTGGTTGACAATGAGGAACTGATAAAGTCTTCGGAGGCATGCCGCGATCTGGTGAATGAAGCAAAACGCTATCACATGCTGCCACACGCTCGACAGGAAATGCAAACACCACGGACACGGCCGAGGCTCTCAGCAGGTAGGATTTCAGCAGATGTGAATATCTCCTCAGTGTTGTTCATGAGGTGTTTCATGTGTAAGTCAGTATGACTAAATCTGGCCCACGTATTATGCATCACGTAGATGAATGCACACACAAAAATAGGGATATTACACAGCTTAGCTCATCCTCTCCCAATTGATCGTTTCTAATTGATTTGTAATTGTTACTTTACCACACTTTAGAATATAATTTATTTTCTATTTTTTTGCTTGCTGTATTCTCAGGAGCCATCCTGCAATTTCATTGCATAATGTATTATCCTAGAAGGTTATTTACTGCTGATTGGCAAACAAACAGATTTAAGGAAAATCTACACTAGTTCCCTTTCTTACTCTCTCACCCCGTCTTTTATTTTCCAAACAAACATCTATAGTCTCCTAACTAGCTCCCTGGTGACCGGCATATTTGTTTTTCTGTGGAAAAGTATGGGAAAATTGTGCAGCTTGCACTAGCAGAGGTACCCGGTTAGCAATTACAAACTGGAACATTGGCAGATTTGTTTCCCCCTCCACAACCCCAAGAACACTGAGGTCAATTACAGTGCTGCTTTTGTGCAGCCTGAGATCAGCTAACACTACTAGACTGGGGTACTGAACCCAGGACCTTCTGAAGCTTTTGTGGCTCTGTTTCACACTTGGCACTGAATTTATCAAACAAGCCATAATTTATGTTGATGGCTCCAAAATGTGGCACGCTTGGATTTCTAGAAATGCTGATTTGATCTCTCAATGTATATATTTTTATATATATATCTATTAAATATTGTTTTTAAGGTGTGGCTGAAGTAATTGTCCTGGTTGGTGGACGTCAGATGATTGGAATGAGCCAGCGAGATCTCACAGCTGTCAGCTGCTTTAACCCACAGAACAGTAAATGGTACCCGTTAGCTAGCCTGCCATTCTACGACCGGGAATTTTTCAGTGTCGTGAGTGCTGGAGACAACATCTATCTGTCAGGTAAATATCGTCTAGTTCCTGTCCTTTTTTCATTTCTGTCTAGGTGCTTTGTCCAAATAGTCAGTAACACAATAACACTTGGGTCTGCTCTTCAGATCAGAATTAAGGTACAGAAAAAATAATTCAGCTCATTGAACTGAAAATTGTGCAACTTGCAAACAAAGCAATGGAGTAGATGGGGACAGAGAAGTAAGACTTCTCCACTGATAAACTGATTAGAACAAAAGTTCCAATTGAACATTTTGGAAAAGAGGTTTGGTATTAACATAAGAAAGAGAGAGAGAAAGAAAAAAAAGACAGAAAGAGGAGGCAGGCAGAAAAAGAGAGATAGACAACGAGAAAGATGGAGAGAGACAGAGAGAAAGAGAGAAAACAAGTGAACGAACATTGGGAAGCACTTTACTGTAATTACTGCCAAGTGTAGTGACCTTTAGTGGCAGAATTTTCAATGAACAGCTTAAACTCCATTTAATTAGGTTGGTCAACAGCTAACCATTTCCTGCAAAACCAAGATGCTGTTATTAACTGAAATGTAAATTGATCATTTTCAAGGCAAATCACATTTTCATTGAAGGACATTTATGAAATAGTCATCATCAATTTAGACCAATGGGCAATACCACAATTCACCATCTCCTTTCACAGCCCATTTATTTACCATTAAAGTAATGACTCCAGTACATATTTCACTGATTTCAATTCTTACAAGAGTCCAGGTTGACTGCATTTTCTTTAGTGGGTTAGTTATTGATGCTAGATCTGTCAAAGCAAAGCAAACACCCCTATACGCACTTGATCAATGTGTACAATTGGGAATTAACTCTGTGGGCTGGCGGTGACAATATAATGAGTCACATCTATTGACGATAAATTGAGGCAAAATATATTCAAGGGTTGGGGGAACACCACGGAAATGGGATCTGAGCAAATGGCTCCAGTGAGGGAAGCTTGCATCACGGTCACAGTGAGATGAATGGCATCCTTTAAGCTTGATATAATTTCATAATGATTTCTGGCCTGAAAGGAACATTAATGATCAAATTCCATATCCTCGCTGATAAATAAATTGCTTTACAAAACGGAAATCCCACTGCTAAACCCACTTTATTAGCGCACCCCTCAGCCACTCCCAAGATATTCTTGCCAAGATTAGCCTCAAAGCTGGCTTTTTGTTTGGTTCTGAATTTTTAAGCAAGCCTCTGCATTTACTATGCAGATGTATATTTCAAAAAAAGGAAATTTGTACTGTCCTTGGGGCCTTGTATCAATTTACGTAACCGTTCACAGTAGGATGGCTAGCAAAGTTCACAGTAGGATATATAGCAATCTACTTCTCAAAATCATTGCTGTGCAGATGTGCAGAAATGTTGGAAAATGATAGAATTAAAGTAGGTTATTTATTGCCAGGGATCATTTGTTTTTGAAGCAATTAAGAGGTGCTTTAAACATATCCATTGCATTTGATGATTTTATTCAATGCGAATTAGCAGTCATTCCGTGTGCTTTCTGAAATGTAGATTTAGGTAACTCCGGTAAGGAGGCAATTTCAGAATCAAATCAAAGCCGCCAGTTGAAGTACAAATTTGGTTTTGCCACTTCCCAAACAATTTTTAAACTTAACAATATTAAGTTGAACTGCCCTTAAGGTTCTTAATCTTATTGGCAAGTCAATCTCATTCCCGCCACTTTAAGGGTTTTAATAATATTAACCAACGTTCAGGACTAGTAACAGGAGCTGTATGCTTACAGCCAGCACCCCTCCTCCCTCATTCAGAATGCATAGTACAAATCCAATTTTCTGCTCCAAATCACTCTCCTTCTGCAAGCAATGCCGCATTGCTTCCCTGGTATAAAGAGGATCATTTGCGGGAATTCAACTTCAGTAACTTTTTCTCTTGTTCAGTTAAGTCTCACATATTCGGTCAGCACCTTTTCACATATAGTGACTCCCAACTAAATACTCATCACCTACCATTCCATGCTGTCCAGCATATGTATAGATTATTATACTTACAAGAACAACAATTGACATTTCTATGAACAATTGGCTCCCGTGTTTCGCCCTCAAAATATACAGTCATTCACTTTACAGTATATTCTATGAAGTGCTTTGAGACTTCTCAAAGACTTAATGAGGCACTATATTATTATGCAAGGATTACTATTATACATCAGGAGGATACATTTCTGTCTCAATGCATTTCATACATGATTAAGAACTCAAGCTGATGAGGGGATAGGTGGGAAAGTGGCTGAAAGTGCAGTCTTAAGGTGAGTTTTGAATGCAAAGGGACTTTAGAGAGTGGGGCAGAATGGCTGAAAGCTCACCCAGCTACTTAGGAAGGGTTGGCTGGACTGTGTAAAGCTAGCCAGTGATTTCTAAGCAGAAGGAGCTGCACACAGTAAGGTCGCTGGAAATCACAGAGTGTGTGAGGCAATGCTGTGGAAGGATTTGAACATGAGGACAAGGATCTTTAATTTAAAAATAGCTTACATTGATAAGAATTCTGTAAATGTTGATCTTGGTTGGACCATTACTTCATTGTTTCACTGGATCGCTCCATAAATTACATTATGCAAAACAATAATGCACCAAATTTTTACTTGATTTCACCTGCAGCCAGCACACGACTGTAAAAAGTCTTGATAGCAACTGCGATTCCAGTTATGTCCATAGGATTAAAATAGCTTCTAAAGAAAAAAGCTTGACGTAGAGTTCCTGAAACGATTTATAATTAAGTAAAATTATGGAGCATAGCATTTTTCAGTTGTGCAATTTATGGAATCTAAACGTATTGAATTAATTTTTCAAGACAGTGAAGCTAATTCATATTACATTTGACATGCAATGGAGTATAACGTGAAAGAGTGATAATAACAACCGTATAATTAGATTTTGGATTTTTTTTGTTTCCTTGACAATTAAGCAGACTATATTGTTATTGCTGTGGTTCAAATTCTTCTCTCATCTTCCCAGGTGGCATGGAAACTGGTGTGCCATTGGCTGATGTGTGGTGTTACATGTCTCTTCTGGATAATTGGAACTTAGTTTCACGAATGACTGTCCCACGTTGTCGACACAATAGCCTGGTGTATGATGGAAAAATTTACACCATTGGGGGCATTGGTGTATCTGGCAACCTCGATCACGTTGAGAGGTAAGGGTTGCGTTGCAAATATAAATTAAATTGAGCCAAATGTGAAGGGGGAAAAAGTAGTAAAGGTGCCTGAAATAACGTAAAACTTGCCAATTTATTTCACTGTTGGAATGAATGTGTAAATGTTAAGTCATCTCACGTTTTTTAATATTTCTGTACAAAATCAAAACAAATGTGGAACCAGCCAAAGAAAGTATCCCCAACCCAACAGGAGCCACTGTTAGTTATTACAGCTCTTTTATTTTTCTGGTTAAAATAAGCATCAAAAGCATAAAAAAATTTGCAAACTTAAAATTAAGACCATGAGAATTGTGAGCCTCATTTCATGTGGAGCAAATTTTTCTCCATAAGTACAGCTCAAGATACACTACATCAAATGGTTTCTTCCAGTTAATTTGGGATGTCAACTTCTAAACTGCTAATGGCACAGGAGACATCCTTGCATTTCATATAGCGCCTTATCACGTCATTGAGATATCTCAAAGCGCTTCACAGAATATACTGTAAAGTGGGATTGACTGTGTATTTTGTGAGCCAATTCTAGTGAAATGCAGATTTTATTAGAAAGACTTGATCAGTGGTAGGTTTGTAAATCTAGTTGTTCCATGGGAGCACACAATCACCACACTATCATTTCATCTCTTGGTAAATGAGAGTTCTTAGATGAACATCACATGATGTCTGGGTAAACAAAAAAGATCTAGCAAATTAAACCACCCATCAAACTCATAGCCCCAGGATAGGAGCAAAACTGATTATTATTTAAACAGATGTACAACAGCAACAAAATTACATGTATATAGCGCCCTCCATGCAGGGTAGCATCTCAGAGCGCTTAACAGTGGTGGAGACTGACTCCAAGCGCTGGTGGTGGAGGGAGGTGGCCGTAAACACGGTCAAAGAGGAAGGTTTTCAGGCAGGACCTGAAAAAGGGGAGAGAGGGGGCAAGGCAGAGGGATTGAGGGACAGTATTCCAGAGTTTCGAGGTGTAATGGCTGAAAGCTCGACCTCCAACAGTGGAGCGGAGGGTGCAAGGGACAAGCAGGAGGCTGGTGCCAGTCGAGTGGAGGTGCCGGCTGGTGGATTGGGGAGTGAGGAGGTCGGAGAGGTAGGGAGGTGCCAGAGAGTGAATGGATTTGAACACAATTGTGAGGATCTTGAAGTTGATCAGTTCGGTGATGGGGAGCCAGTGGAGCCCGGCCCGAACTGGTGAGATGTGGGTACGGAGTTTGATCCGGGTCAGTATGTGAGCGGCAGAGTTCTGAATGAGCTGGATCTTTTGAATATGGAGCTGGGGAGTCCGGCGAGGAGTGCGTTAGAGTAATCCAGGCGGGAGGTGACAAACGCATGCACAAGGGTTTCGGCTACATTTGGGGTAAGGTACAGGCGGAGGCGGGCAATGTGGCGGAGGTGGAAGAAGGCGGTCCTAGTCAGGGACCAGATGTGGGCGAAAAAGGACAGCTGGGGGTCGAACTGGACACCTAGATTGGCACTGGTTCGGTGAGTGTGAGGGAGAGCTCAGGGAAGTTGAGGAGTTCAGATCTGCAGGAGCAAAGATGAAGACGTGCACACTAAGCTCTTCTTCAAACCTTTCATCCAGGTTATGATAAATCCTCCATATCTCTAAGGTATCACTATCCCACCTCCACTTCATCTAAAGTCCTAATCCATGCCTATGGCACCTCTAGTCTTGACATCTCCAATTGCCTGCTTGCTGGTCTCCTCAGCTCTCCCCTCCACAAACTAGAGCAGAGAGAGAGCACATCAGCAGAAAATACCTATTCTTCTAAAGGATAGTGGGATTAAGGGATATGTGGACAGGGCAGGTGAATGGAATTAAGTTAGAAGATCAGCAGGGGCCGGATGACCTACTCCTGCTCCTACGTCTTATGGTCTCCCGCACCAAGCTCAGCACCCCAACCCCCCTCTCCCCCCCCCACCATCCTTTCTGGGCTCCACTAGCTCCTCAGATGATCAAATTTAACGTCCCCTCTACCTTCAAAGGTGGAGCAAGGCCACCTTAGGCTTACCTAAGGTGGCCTTGCTCCATCTCACCTCTGTGATCTTATTATTCTAAAGTCCTGCTAACCTCACCGCTCCTCCAACGGTGGTCTCCTTTGTGACCTGCCTGTTCTACCCCATCATCATCAGGCAAACTGACAACAACAACAACAAGAAGATTCCATTTATGGAGCGCCTTTCACGTCGGGAGGACGTCCCAATTTCTTCCAAAATATCCACAATGTTCTGTGAATGTGAACTGGAAATTCCTGGGACCTACAGCACCAGACTGACCGACAGGAACTCCGCTCCGATTAACGTCCAATACCAGAGTTCCCTCAAAGTGGCTGGAATCTTGGATTCCTTATGAACTAACCACATTATGAAATATGCAAATTGGATACCAACATTCAATAACAAAGTGTTAACGCAAACCATAATCATTAATTCTAACATATAATGACACCACCCTCTGATCCCAATCTGTAGCTTCGGTGCAAATCCCTCGTTGTCCCCTCCCGACATGAAAAGCGCTATACAAATGTAATTTGTTGTTATTTTCTGTGAAAAGTGTTTTCTTTTCAAATCTTTGACCGTAATTTCACTTTAGTATGTTGTCTGTCACATCATTATTAGAATGAATTGTTTGGTAAGATCAGTAATTTCAATGAATGTCTTCTTTGCTTCATTGATAGAGCAAACAAATGTGACAAACATGTAATTGCCCCGTGCATTCCTGAACAGCAAAACAACACTGCGATGTACATTTAAACAACATAAAACACCGTGAAGAGTGAGGGATGGTTCTGCACTGTTAATGTTCTATTGTGGTCTTAAAATTAGATGTTAGCAATCCAGACCATGCGCACAATGGCTAAATTAGTTTAAGGTTGACATTATCTGAATTAGTAAAGCCATTGACCACAGGGGTGTACAGCTAATAAACCGTGGGTGAAGTTTAATTTTCATGTTGCAAATTCAGCATTGCACATTTCAAGTGAATTTGGCATCAATCCAAATAGCTTCCGAGAACATATTGCAGAGCTAATAGACAATGTCATGTGCTTTAAAAAACAACTTATATCAATTTTTTTTAATCAATTTTCACGATGCCGACATATATCTGGTCTGTTTTCGATATTGAAAATCATAGCCCATTGTTCTGTAACTGTATGTAACAAAATGTTATCACAAGTAAAATTTAATTGATACACATTCTGAAAAAAATGTTACAAAGGCGGGGCAAGGTGTATGGAGGAATTCCTCTCATCTCTTAAGTGCAATGCCTTTGACCGGGAGAATGCATCACCAACGTTGCTCTACTTAGCAAGAAAGAGAATAATAATAACAATAATAATAATACATTTTCAGTTGATTTTAAAATTGGCAACATCCATTGAAGATTCTGAATTGTTTTACCTTTAAAACACCACCAAGATAAATGAATTAATTTGGTGTAGGTTATTTCAAGATGCAGGGCTCCAGCCCATACCATGTTTCACCCACACAATCGTTTACAAATGAAAATGAAGGCACAGTAGATTCCTGTTATAAAGTGGACCCTTATATTGCTGATTTATTTATAGGGTAATTTATTTATACGATTTATTTATTTATATATTTATTTATAACAGTTTGTTTATTTATCCCCCTCTTCAGCCAACTTCCTGTGTACTAAAAATGACCAATTTTCAGGTTATGGCCACTTTTAGTAGGAAGCGAACCACCTTTATTCATTCACCCTGTTGTCAAAGAATATGCAGCTGCGTTATTGTAAAATCTACTGGTGACACTTTGTCCAGAAGCCTATTTATCATTTGCAAATAATTATATTCCAGTCATTTTAAACAAATAAACAATCGTTTCAGCCCCTTAAAGGATTGCAGCTATTTTAGTGTTCCGTTTTAAGATGTGAAACCAGATTGCCTTCTGGTAGATTTGCTCTTAAACTATTAAATAGTAATTCAATTAAAAACTGTAATGGTTGTGATTGCTCATCTCTGCCTTCACAACTTTTAATTCATCCTGCACAGCAATTGGGAATTTGTTCAAATGGTACAATGCCTTAATAAATCCAATGGTGACCAGGCGTTTATTACAAACACTAAATTTATGAATCAATTGAAGCCTAAAGTTGACATGGAGCAATGGGGAAGCACTGAACTGCATCGACTAATAGGGTAATGTCCACATTTTTCATGCGTAAACTTTGAGCATTACATTTGATGTTCCCTGTGTTCTGCTGAACAGCAGCAGAACATGCTGTGCCCTCTACAGGTGAAGGAAAATTGATCTTTAATTTTATTACATTCAAAAGCCAAAGGTAAATTGGGATATAACTTCGGTAACAAGAGGTATGAGAAGCACAAGGTCTTTTGAAAGCTAATCCTAACCCCTGCCCACCGAAGATAGTACATTTTGTTCACAAAATATACAATTAATTCAATTTACAGTATATTCTGCGAAGCGCTTTGAGACATCTCAATGACCTGATAAGGTGCTATATACATTGCAAGCATTATTTTTAGACAATGCAACAGAGTCATGAGTCTTTTTTGGTTCCAAGAGAGGAAATTCCTAGCAAATAAAAGTTTGTTGTTAACATGCTAATGGCTCTATAAGGTATTATTGTCGAAGTTAGGCTGGGTGGAAAGCCCATTACGGTCCAAGAGTAAAATTCTCTCTTAGTTCTAAGTTAATAGGGAATAATAACTCTAAAGATATTAATCAGGAAAAACAATTTGCAGCTATATTCGTGAGGCTATTTTAAGAGTGCAATCTCTTTGTCAATATCAAGTAAAATGTATTAATTCTACATCAACCAGTCAGTTCTATCTTGGATTCAGCCGTGTGTTGAAGACAAACAAGAGAAATTTTTCAATGTATATTTTCCAAGTCTCTTTTATAGGTGTCATGCTCTGGATAAGCAGGCATTCAGTCAACCTACTCTTAGTTTACCCCCAGTGTTACTCTGTCCTGATGGGTAGACAGATGAGCATCTCTCCATCTCTGACTTTTCCTTTGTCCTTATCCTGCCTTCCCACTTTCCTTCAATTAGATTGGGAGCTCCAAATGTGGGGATAATTAGGTAAAAATCAAATCCCACTTGTAAGAAATTAAGTCCTTTATACTCCCAATAATGGTTAATATACAAGAACAAATGGCAACGATTGTACATCTCATACAACCATCCCCTTTATTGAGGTTAAAAGATGAATTCACTGAATGTTCTTAATTGGCTTAGGGAGAGTTATATCTAAGAGTTGACATGAATTTAGTGATTCCAAAATTGGCTTTCAACCATGTAACACCATATTCCCATTTGAGATTTAATATTTTATTAATCAATTAAGTAATTTGTACCATCAAACCTGCCAGTTACTTCTCCTGACGTCAATTTCAAAAACCTGCCTCGTTAAAAAGAGACCGATTCTAGTGACGGACGGAGAGCAACATATCTTTCAGCAGCTGATGAAGTGGCCAACGCTTCTATCATGGTTTAAACTTTCATTGACCAAGATGAAATAGAGTTCTTTGATAACCCACAATGAATGTCTTTCCAAGTGATTTGATTCACTACTAGCTAAGTAAATGTTGTTTTACTATACCACATATGATAACAAAGTTGGACAGAAACTTCAGAGAAGTCAAAAGAGCTTGAATCGGAAAGTTTTGTGTTTGATATTAGGAGGTAAAAGACTTTAAACATATAATTAGTTTGGCTTTCTTGGAGTTTGGCTGACATGGACTCATTGGGGCGTCTCTCATGTTAGCTAGTGTGGTCCCTTGGGTCATCTCTCACTTTGACTAGCATTGTCTCTTGGGGTCTCTCTTTAGTATTTTGGGTCTTCTTGTCCTGCCACTGCTTTATTTTTAGCTGTGACGGGTAGCTTAACTTTTGGTGACAGTCTTTGTTTTTGTCTTTAACAGTATCCATTTTTTCTTTCCTTTCATAGAAAAACTGTTAGAGAGGAATTTTGACTGCCTCTACATTTCTGCTTTTAAATTTAATATCTGTTGAATCTGATAAAAGCCTGTCTCAGCCTAACTCCATCTATCTAGGAGAGTTGACCTGATCCAATCTGGCTAATAATATTCACTCAATCAACCTGTTTCAATCTGTCTCTCTCTGAACACAACTCCCCATTAAAATACCTGTTGAACTTTCCTCTGTTAAATTTCTGGGTCAACCTCTTGTGGGTGTGAATGGGCTGAGATGGTCAGAGTGAAACTCCAATCAGGTGGTCCCTGTTTTTTGCTTTTCTTCTTAAGATTGAGGACCTTTCACTGGGAGCATGGATTCATTAGGTTTTAATCAAACATATTCTTCCTGGTAAACTATTTTTGGTATGAACACCTCTTCAATGTACAAGCACCGAAATAGAGAATTAATTCTTCCCACTGTGCTGTTACAAGTGACAAATATTGCTATATGGCCTCATTTGTAACCTGACTTGTTTTCTCTAACCTCATGCCTGTTTGGTACCAAACTGACATATTTGTAATGCTAATAAGATGACAGGATAAAGGCTCTTTAGTTCAGCTACCCATAGAGCTGTGTTATATTCAATCATAACCAAAATTAACCTCAACTATATGTGGAGTCCTGTAGCTCAGTGGTTAGAGCACTTGAAAGAGCTGGGTTTGATTCCCGGCAGGTTTCCTTAGGCAAGTTTCCTTACTCCACCCGCCTCTGTTTACCTAGCAGTAAGTAGGAACCTGGTTGTTAGTCATTTGGCAGATCGCTTTTCTGGGGATAATAATTCCTTCAAAAAAAATAATAATAATAAATTGGTCACTTCAATCCATGACTGTTTGGGGGACGCTGCTGTGCACAATTTGTTGCCACATTTCGCGGACAAAATATACAGTCAATTCACTTTACAGTATATTCTGTGGAGTGCTATGAGACATCTTGAAAATGTGATGAGGTGCTATATCAAATGCAAAGATTATTATTATTACTTTTAATTCAGTTTTCAATAAGCACTGAATTGAACACAATGTTTTATATGCACAATTTGATGCTATTGGGTGGTTAAGCTACAGTGTCTATGCAACACCAACACTGTGTCCTCATTATTTTGCTCAACTTTCCCAAATGGAGTTGATCCTAAGACAGTGAAGATAATGAATAGAAAACGTGGCACCATTCTGAAGGGATAAATAATTTAAAGGATAGCTGACAATGTGCCCCTCTCTCACCCATCCTGGATGGGGCACATGACTTGTGCTGCCGTTTCCCAGTTTTGCTTTCAACCATTCCTCCAAATAATATCCACAACTGCAGTTGTATAGGATGGATGCAGACATCCTTGTCTCAGGCTCCATATGGTGGAATGCAATTATAGTGGCAAGCAGCCAACAAGGGAGGAAAATGAGAGAAAACAATATAAGAAGGCTGTAAATTCCTGCCATGTAATGAGCTGATAAATACCTCATAACCACCAGTTTTAAGACCTTTATATTGTAATTGGCCACTGGGGTACAGTCATAGTTAAATAAAGGTATTCAATGGAATTGTTTTACTTTTGAGCAGCAAAATTGTAGCATTTTTAATTAAAGATTGTCTTTTATAGGAGTTGAATATGCTTAGCATTTTAAGAACTGGCAGTGGTGTGATCACGACAGGTAATGGTTAATGGTACATGAACATTTTATTCTTCCAGGTACGACACAATTACCAATCAATGGGAGACGGTGGCACCTCTTCCTAAGGCTGTGCATTCTGCAGCAGCAACTGTATGTGGTGGCAAAATCTATGTGTTTGGTGGAATGAATGAGGCCGGCCGGGCAGCTGGAGTTCTACAGTCATACGTCCTTCAAACAAACACTTGGACATTCATTGAATCTCCTATGATAGGTACAGTAGAGCGTGTTTGAAAACTACAAAATGTACTCTCTTAACACAGAGATGTTTATGAAAAAAATTGTACCGTCTGTGTTCTCCTAAAAGCTGTGCTAACAGCCCTAAAATATGCCTGCATCCCGACTGCATTCTGCCCCCATCTACATCCTGAACACAAAAATTCCATCTTCCTATTAAACGTGGTGAGACGTCTTATCGGAAAGACATCACCTCCAACAGTGCAGCACATCCTCAGCACTGCATTGCAGTGTCAGCCTTGACTATATTAGTTCAAAGTCTCAACATGGGATTTGAACTTACAACCTTCTGACTTAGAGGTGAGATTGCTACCAACTGAGACAGGCTGCATGCAACATTTCGCACGGTTGATGAGCTTTGACTCAGTACCGAACAAGATCATCAGATGTGACTGATGATGTGAAGAATTATTCTTGATTCGGTAATTTAACTTTATTGTCTCTGGAAGGATGCTGTAGAATGTGTTTTGAATAGATATATTGATTTCTTTAAGCAGCTTCATTGGGGTGGGAAATGTAGGATTTCAAGCCATCACATAAAAACAACATGAGAGACTAAGAATTTTCAAGAGTTCAGTATGAATTTTTCTTAGCAGCATGTTGAAATACCAGTAAAAATAGACTTTTAAGCTTTTTTAAAACAATTAAGAGCAGAGTTCTTGAAGAACTGTGTTCTATGCATTTATAAGTGGTGCTGCCATTCAAACAATATCACCTTATGATGATTCACACAGTGAGGTAACAGCAGCAAGTCTGTGGAGCTCTTTCCTCGCTCCCTGGGTGGTGTTTGAGCCACAGGCAGAACACCATCTGATCAAACTGATCACAGTTGGGCACAAACCTAGATGAATACAATTGCAGTCCTATCTTTGTTTAATCTGCAAACATGATCCAGATGTCTTTGTGACTCGTCAGTCTCCCTTTCCCACTCTCACTCTGCCCTCTCTATCTTTGGTCCTTGACACTCCTCTAACAAATGTAATTTGTTGTTGTCGTTGTTGTTGAACAGTGGCTTAAAGATCTTCATAGTTCCAATTTTTTCACAGCTATCTACCGCTTCCTTTGCCCCACACCCCAGAGAATTGCCTGCTTTGTCTATTCCTACCATGTTTGATTAGTCTCTTTTGGTTTAAAGAAGTTGTACTTCTAGAGGTTGAATTCGAGGGGAGCCTTTGGTGTAAGGAGATAATTAATGTTGGATTTCTTGGCTGAGTGGAAGAAGTTGAATATTTCAGTTGTTATGTCTGTGTAATTTATTTTCCCTCAAGCACTTGCAGTTATAGTAGATTATTTCTGCTATTCGTGCTAATTGGAAGACTTATGTTGCTGGGTTTTTAGAAACTTGAGAGGAGATTGCTTTCTTCTGTCTCTCAGGAATTATTTGATGAGCTTGAATTTTTCATCAGTCTTGAGGATTGAAGGGAAATCTTGGAATTGTAATTACTGCTTTGCTTATGAATCAAAATTGGGGTCATTTTGTGTTTCGTTTCCTGGTCAGATTTTTTGTCCACTGAAGTGTCACCTTGTGGAGGTGACTCTTGCCAGGTTTTCCTTTTGCATGATATTTACTTGAGTATTCATTCACCTGTGTTGAAGTTCTTGTATAACATTTTTGGGAAGTTTGGGTATTTTATTAAATGGTTCCTGCTGATCTGCCCAGCAATCCCCCAGATAAAATTGGGTATTCACTTCATGGTTGTTTGTGGGACACTGCTGTGTGCAAATTGGCTGCTGTATTTGCCTACAAATACTCAGTCACTACACTTTATAATAAATCCTTTGAATATAATAATATATAATATAATAATAATCCTTGCATTTGATATAGCGCATTTCACGTCTTCTATACGTCTCAAAGCGCTTCACAGAATATATTGTAAAATGATTTGACTGTATAGTTGTGGGCGAAATGCGGCAGCCAATTGCGCACAGCAGTGTACCACAAACAGTCGTGGATTGAAGTGACCAATTTTTTTTCTTGAGGGATTATTATCAGGCATGTGGAGTAAGGAAATTTGCCCTGATAAGCATTTTTTGAGAAATTTCAACAATGTAATAAGGTGATATATCAAATGCAAGTTATTATTATCTGCTTTATGATGTTTTGTACCAGAATATTTCTGGTTCCCAGATATAGCTTTACTGTATAATATGCCACAGGGATGGAAATGTATCTGTGGAAAATAAATGATCTGAATTCGCTAATTCAAAGCTTTTTTATTTATCTGGGGAAAGTGGACCAATAAAGAAGATTCGGGCTTTGGCCAAAGCCAGGATAAAGCAAAATTTGCTGTTCGTAGAGTGCATTGTGGATCTGTTTCTTTCCTTCAGGAGTTTGTTTTTTTGTTTCAAGAAATAAAAGAAACCATCAAGTATTTGAGAAACTAATTCATGGCTGTGGATGGTTATCTTGTTTTAGCACTGAGCTCTGCAATTAAAGATCCTATAGGAAAATTTTATCAGGCCTCCACTGTCACTTTAGGGCAAAGTTAATTTTGTTTGTTTTGTTTGTCCTGTAAAATAAAAGGAATTGGAATTATTAGGCGAATGAGTTCAAAGTATCCAACAACTGCAATTTTATATTTATATAGCACCTTTCACGGTTGGGAGGATATCTCAAAAGAGTTTTACAGAGCTGACAAAGATATCGTTTGGGAGGTTGGATGGGACCAATGGGCATTCTTGCCTGAAACTGTGCTATGTGACAGGATGTAATAATAAATAATTATTTATCAATGGTATTTATAGAAGCAATACTTTTTTATAAAAGTATCGCTTTGATACAGTGCAATACATATCAACGTTGATAAGTATCGCATTGTTTAAAGTTCTGGTTATCTCACAACGTACGGTCACAAAAAAAACTCCTCTCTTCCCATGACCCTTCCTGACTTCCATCATAATGAGTGAGCCCAAAGGGTAACCTGTGGCTGATACTGAACCTGTTACTATGCACGATTTCAGTCTGTGCGTTCATTTTTCACCCTTTATGATTAAAATATACTTGAAAAGGTGAATCCCGGTAAATGTACTAAATCAAACTACTAACTCGATTATTAACAGTTGCTTCCATTCGAAACTCATACTCTAACTATATTATGGACGCAGCATATTCATTATTTTGATGATGAGTTTTTTATGTTATTTCAAAACGAACCTTTGAAAACAAGTCACTGAGGGGTGCAGCTCTGTTATAATGTGCTTCTTTTCAAAATGCATTAGGTTATAAAATAGTTGCAGTGTGGTTCCCATTGATTGATGTGTTGTTGGTGTACTTGCTTCCCACATGCCAGTCAGCTCTCATTCTAACATGGTCAACTTCTGAGTCATTAAGTTGCTTTAACTTTTGTCTAACATTTCTAGTGAACTCACAGCGCACAGGAGGCAACGTTGGCAGAGGCCTGATGACCAGATGTCGGCAGTTTTTACTTCCCATGATTCTGAATCATCATGTCGGCACCGACATCACTTTCTGTTTTGTATATGCGCAGCTCAGAGGAAGTGATGTCGGCGGCGATTGATAAGTCAGACATTTTTTTAGCGCTTAAACCAAATGGCCATACAGTAAACCGGCAAGCGGCCAGCAGACACCCGCAGTGAAACCATCCATTGCCCCTCATTATTAACATGAGGTGGGATGTTATGCATCACAACTATCACGTTATTATCAAGACTCAACTCCATGAACAGTAAAATAAATGTGACGTGAAACTCTACATGAAGTAACTGTGTATCTTGTTTATTCTGTCAATAGATAACAAGTACGCTCCTGCAATCACTCTCAATGGTTTCGTATTCATTCTTGGAGGGGCCTTTGCCAGAGCTACTACAATCTATGATCCTGATAAAGGCAACATCAAGGCAGGGCCAAACATGAACCACTCCAGGCAATTCTGCAGGTATGAGTAATCAAACAATCTTTTTTTAATTCTCCTTGACATGATTTAAGCAGTTGTGCCACTACCTCAGTGACAAGTAGCAAAAGCAGGCTCCCTAGGCAGATGGTGGAAGCAGAAAGTGTTGATTCTTCGAAGAACAAATTAAATAGATTTCTGTTGGAAGATAATATCTCGGGATAGGGTATATAGTTTGGTCCACGACATGTTAAGCGACTGCCAGGATGGTGGAAGCCAAACTAGATGGATCTTGGTCTTTTTGTCCTAGTAAATTCTTATGTTCTTATGTTCTAAAAATGAGATTTAAATCTATTGACAGAAGCATTGTATATTGTTCTCGAAAGCTCAGGTGTAAATACTGTCATGTATGTTCCACAAAAGCTTTTACCTTTGGAGTACTGCGAGCTGAACTCTGCATCATTGAACAAACAAGCTTGTCTTTAAGTCAGGAGGAAATCGTCACTGCATGATAGCTGGAGCAATAGAGTTCTTGACTCTCATTTAACCTTTGTCTGAATCACAGTCTCACCTACAATTCAAACTCTTTATTTCCATTTAAATCAGTATCCTGAATTAATTCTGAACTAAACTGCTTGGATAGCACACTTTGTAGAACCAGTGCTCTCCATTCCAGGGGGAGAAAATTGCTGGCAAGATAGGTTTCACCGTCAAAAGAGGTTAACACAGGTTGACAGTGATAACACACACTGAGAGTTCGTTGGGCATACTGTTCTGCCCTACTGAATGAGGAAGGAACCATGGTAATTGAGAGCGTCCATCTGAGGCGAACAACATGAAAAGATATACTAAGGCATATGATCTCATTAAATTCCTATGTTTCTTCAGTTCAGTAAAACATGCAGTCCAACATTGTGCTCAGTCTTTGTAACTTCAAATGTCGTGAGTTTCATCAGTTTTTACTCAGACCAGTAGATAAGTTCCAAGCGAGTGAATAGGTTATTTTGTCCTCATCTTGTATATGAAGACTATATGAAAATTAATTAAAAGGTTTAAGATTTTTTTGCCAGTTTGGTATCTGACACATCACGCGGAAACCCATCACTATGCTTAGGAATATCCAAACCAAATTGAGAGTTCCATGCATCCCACCGACACATGGAAATTCCCCTGTATTGGAATTCAATGCTCACTCTCTCCCTGGAGGGATACATCCTGTTTACCACCACAGACAGCTGGCACGATTCTGACATTCCATCGCCAAGCATTGTCACTTTGGTGCCTTTATCAGCTCCAAGCACCTGCTTACCTTACTCCCCACCCTCCCTGCCCCCGAGGATAAATAAAAAGAAAGTAGTTTCTCTGGATTTAGGTAAGGAAGATGTCTTTCTTTAGGGAGAGAGGGCATATTCTATTCCAGAAATTGGGAAATTTAGGTGGAATTTAAGTGGAATTCAGCTTGGTTTGGATACACAGTGATGGGTTTCTGCATATGTCAGGCACCCGGCTGACCATAAAAAAATCTTCCTTATTTAGGAAGGCAGAATGGTGTGGCCACTGAACTCTCCATGTTCACTTCTTTTGATGGTGAAACTCATCCTACCCGTACCCTTACCCTGAAATAAGTACATTTCATCAAGTTTGTGGAGTCCTGTAGCTCAGTGGTTAGAGCACTCGCTTTGCAAGTGAGAGACCTGAGTTCAATTCCAGGTAGAGCAAAATCTTGGGCTTTCGTTTCCTTACTCCACACGCCTGATAATAATCCCTCCAAAAAAACAAAATGATAATAAATTGGTCATTTTCAATCCATGACTGTTTGTGGGACATTGTTGTGCACAATTGACTGCCGTGTTTGCCCACAACTATACAGTCAATTCACTTTACAGTATATTCTGTGAAGCGCTTTGGGATGTCTAGAAGACGTGAAAAGTGCTATATCAAATGCAAGGATTATTATTATTATTTAATAATGGCCACTGATGGCCAGAGCTGTATAAATACTGCATCTGCTGCTACATGCTTTTCACAGCTCAAGTGAAAGTTCATGGAGGGATGTGGTGTTAAAACAGCAGGTAAAACTGCATTGTAAAAATGAATTACTGAGCGCATTTTAAGAATCTTAACTGTGAAATGTTAAATATGAGCAATTTTGATATTTAATTTTTTTTAATTTTCAAAAGTCATTTGGAGAGTATCCCATTCGGAATGGTTAGTGAAACTGATGATGTATGATTTTTTAGGATACTATGCTTAAATATAGCTTCAGCTCTGACATATTGAGGTTTAATTTGTGTTGGTCGCAAACCAGATTTGTTGCTTTATTTAACACAGCCAATTTATTTTACTTATCTGAGGATGTGGGTAACAATAGCATTTGGCCAATCTTTAAGCCCATCCCTAGAGGTGATGGTGGTGGTGGGCCTTCTCATTAAACTGCTCCAGTCCTTGGTGCTCCCATGAGAGTGTTGGGTAGGATACAAATATCACAAATTAAACCAAAATATGCGGCCTAACATTCATTGTATTCATTTGCAACGCATTAATTAGAAGTTGACACCAAACAGTGTGAGGGAGCCAAGGGTGTGTGTGTGGTGTGGGGGTGGTGGTTATGTGTGTGTGTGTGGGTGGGAGGTTAGTTATGTGTGTGTGGGGGAGTTGATTGTGTGTGTCTGTGTGGGGGCTGGGGGTTGGTTGTGTGTGTGGGGATGGCTTGGTTATGTGTGTGTGTGGGGGTGGGGAGGTATGGGAGAGGCTCTTTAGTTATCCATGGGCATCGTTGACGACATTTATTAATTATATAGTAATTATCATTGGTGTTAGTTAATTAACATGTCAGAAATCACAATTGTCATCCCTACATCTGTTCCACTCAAGCCATTTTACTTTCATACATGTTGTAATATTCCATGTACAATGAAAACAAATCTACAGTGTTGTTGGGTCTTCCAATTTATTTTCAAACAGTTTCAAACACTGTAAAATCTTCAGATCTCACCAAAGAAATTGTAGAGGAGACAGCACTGAACAGTGATGTATAACTTGGTATACCTTGTTTTGAACTTAAGGATGTTGGAAGGTTAATGTTTTCCCAATTTATATAAAAAACTATGAGTCTCAATTGTTCAGACCCATTGTATTAACAAGTGACCTGTGACATGATCCAACATGAGCACATCAATACTACTTCATGAATTCCGTGTTCATAAGGCCTGAAATTCTACTTAATCTAAGCCTGCAAGAGCATTTTATCTTCAAATTTAATATCACACAAAACTGAGGATAATTTTTAAATTCGGTTTTATTTCGAAACCTAATCTTTTTAACTGTAAAAGCAGGTTACACATTGATTGAATTTAAGAATTTCCCACAATTCTGTACAATTATAAATTGTAAGATAGAATGGTTTTACAGTTCAAAGCTAGGTACAATTTCAGGCCTATAAAGGTTAAGATTTAATTTAAACTATATAGTTTCGAAAATAAAATTAATGTATTACATTAGCAGCCAATACCAGCCAACCTCCTTTTCATTATTCTATATTGGTTTTTTTTTTGCTTTGATCTATGAAATGAACAAGCAAAGATAATGTGAAATGAATGAGTAAAGTTTATCCATGCATGGATAGTTTAAGAGAGAGGAAATGCCATTTCTGCAAATTCCCAGCAACATCCGTCCTTCCTTGATAAGAATTGTATCTCTCCTTTGGAGCAAGCTTTTTTTAATGCTAACACACTAAGCCAGTCACATCTTTGACTTTTTCCTCAGGTTTCAAAATGTAAATCGCCTTGCATATGTAAGGGATTTTGTATTATTCAAATAAATCATCCTGACATTTCAGATGCTGCTGCATAATAGACTTTTATTTAACTTTGCTTGAAGAAGGATGGGAAGCTCAATTTTCAATAATAACTTTTTGTACTATTCACTTTCAAGTCAATGGAGGGATTGTATAGCTTGAGCCTCGTAATTAACAAGTACTAGATTGAAGACTAAAGGACATCTTTCAGGAAGACTAATAGAATAGAAGATAAGGAACACATAATCGCTAACAGTGGACAGGAATAAACAGTATAAAATAAGATCAGCCAGCAGCTATAAAATGTAAATAGATGTGATCGATTAATGTATTCCGAGTTCTTTCTTAATATTCCGTTAAATTTAATCACATTTCAGAACGAGGACAGCAAATTGGAATATTTAGGTAAAACATTTTTTTTAAATTTTGTGCAAAAGAACTAATTCAAGTGCAGGTTACAGACACCAAGAGCACATTCGTACTTCCTAAACCAAACCCAATGGAAGGAAAGCCTTGGTTCAAGGTGGAATAAATTATGTAATTGTATATTCTAGCACTGCTTTGTATAATAAAGATCTATTAAAATCCATTGGTTAATTAGAAACATTAACATAGAAAGCATATCTGTCCTGGGGAATACAATGACTCATTATCTTCACATCATCACTGGCATTTGAATGAAAATGGACCTTGTTTGAAACCAATGTGATGAACAAGGACATGATGTCCTTTACTGAGGGTGAGACTGTTAAATCACATTTCAATTGGTAATATCACGGACTGTGCAAATAGTATATGTCTGTCCATTTCTTTAACATATTAATTTTTAGTGTATAATTGCCCCGTTCTGATGATGCAACAAAGTCATAACTATGGAGTTGTCCTCCGGAAAGAAGATGATATATTCAGTTAATTGCCAATAATATTCAGTTAATTACACAACAATAATATGCCCGCTCTCCAATATTCCCTTCGGGATCTGTACAGAAAAAGAAAAGTATTACAGTAAGAGACACGCTGTACAGAGGATGCTTTGTATAATTAATCAAATAACGATAAACAATTCAGGTTTCTCAGAGGCCTGGCCCTGCAGATAGTCAGCAGGTTACAGCAGTGACTTTTCGAAAGGTGAACACTGTGGTATTTACTCCTCTGAAGCCTCATCTTTTCTGAGTGTAAAAAGACAGCGGCATTTTGAGCAGAGCACATACATCAATCCCAAAGTCAATAATTATGGATGTTGTGAAAA